TCCTTTGGGGTAAGATACCTAAAAGGGGAATGGCTAGGTTCATCGAATTTCTATTCTTAGTTTTTTTGAGGAATCTCCATACTGATTTCCGCGTGCTAGCTGATTGTGCCACTGGAGCTCCTCCATACTGATTTCCATAGTGATTGTGCTATTTTAATGTTCCTGCCAAAAATGGAGGAGGATTCCCTTTACTACACAGAAATGCCAGCATTTGTTATTATTTGATTTCTTGATTGTACCCATTCCTTCAGTGTTATCATTTGCATTTCTTTCATGACCAAAGATGTTGAATTGTCTGTTCATTTTGATTGGGTCTTTTATTTCTGGGGGGGGGGTCTAAATTTTTTTTAGTTCTATATGTATTCTGTATATTAGTCCTCTGTTTGAGGAGCAGCTGGCAAAAGTTTTTCCCATTGCATATGTTACCTCTCTCGGTGAGTTTTTTTCCTTTGATGTGCAAATTAGTTTGGTATAATCCCGTTTATTGATTGTGCAATTGGGATCCTGTTCAAAAGTCCTCACCTAAGTCTTTGTGTTTGAGTTTTACCTACTGTCTTAGTTACTTTTCTCATTGCTGAGACAAAATAACCAATGCCCAAAGTTAAGGGAGGAAAGGATGATTTAACTTACAGTTTGTAGAGGTTTTGGTTCATAGCTAGCTAGCTCCAAGGCGGCATGGCAGAGAGGCATTGCAGAGGAGAAAGCAGTTCATGGCATGGCAGGGCAGGCAGAAGGCAGCAAAACAGCAAAGTAGCAAAGCAACAGCAAGCAACAGCAACAGCACTCTTTCTGTCCCTTATATTCTATCTATGCTAGAGCAAGTGGGCCACAAGGATGGGCCTTCCCATTATCCACACCCAGAACTATGCCAAAAAAATCAGTGGATTAATTTAATAAACACACACCCTTAATCCCAGCGTCACACACACTAGATCCAGCCACCTCTGAAAAGCCCCACCTATGACCTCATGAGGCTTTGTGGGGAGGGACATCCAGACAAAAGCCATAACTCCACTTTATCTTCCAGAAGATTGTTTCTGTTTTGATACCCAGGTCCTCCATCCATTTTCATTTAATTTTAGTTTGTGGTGAGAGTTATGGGCCCAGTTTCTATCTCCTGCATGCGTGTAACCAGTTCCCCAGCACCGTTTGTTAAAGAGGCTCTCTTTGCTCTACTACATGCTTTTTTGCCTTTTCTGTCAAATATGAGATGACTGAATGTACCTGCGGTTGTTCTGCATCCTCTACGCTATCACGTTGATCCACTGTCTTTTTTTATGCCAGTACTACACTGTTTTTAATCACAGTAGCTTTGTAATATAACTTGAAATCTGGGATGGTGATGCCTTCTGCTTTGCGCTTGTTGCCTAGGATTGCTTTTGGTATTCTGGGTCTCTTCTGGTTCTGTATACATTTTATGATTGTTTTTCTAGTTCTGTGAAAAAAGTTATGTTGGTATTTTGATTGGGATTTCTGTATGTCAGTTTTGGTAGTATGGCCATTTTGAAAATACTGGTTCTGCCTATCCAAGAACAGATGATATCTCTTCATTTTCTGATGTCCTCCTTAATCTCACTTCTCAGAGTATTTTACTCTTCATTGTAGATATCTTTCACTCCCTTGGTTAGGTTAAGTCTTTTGTGGATAGTATCATTTTCCTAATTTCTTGCTTGGTGGATTTATTGTTGGTATACAGGAATGCTATTGATTTTTATGTGTACTGACTTTGCATCCTGCTGCTTGATGAATTAATACATAATTATTAATTATTTTGGTACAGTTTTATAGGTTTTATATGTAAAGGATCACCTCTTCTGTGAATAATGATAGTTTATTTCTTCCTTTGGTTTCTTTTCTTTCTTTCTCTTAATTACTCTGGCTAAAGTTTTGAGTACTGTGTTGAACAGGAGTGATGATAGTAAACACACTGGTTTTGTTTAGAGGAAATGCTCCTCCCCGTTTTAGTATGATGTTGGGCATAGGTTTGTCATAAATAGCTTTTATTAGGTCAAGATAAGATCCTTCTATACCAATTTTTCTCAGGTTTTGTTAATCATGAGTGGATGTTGGATTTTGCAAAGGCTTTTTTTTGCATCTACTGAGATCATGTAATTTTTGTCCTTGCTTCTGTTTATGTGATGTATTACATGTATTGATTTATATCTACCTAACCATGCTTACTTACATTCGTGGGATGAAACCAACTTGGTCATAATGTATGATCTCTTTAAGGATTTCTTGCATTATCTTTGCCAGTATCTTGTTGTACATTTTTGTATTTATATTCACTAAAGTGATTAGTCTGTAGTTCCCTTTTTTTGTTGGATCTTTGTCTGGTTTTGGTACCAGGATAATGCTAACTTCCAAAAATGAGTTTCATAGTGCTGCTTATCTTTCAATTTCATGGAACAGTTTGAGGAATATTGGCATTAGATTTTCCGTGGAGTTGTGGTAGAATTCAGTGGAGAATCCATCAGGCCCTGAGCTTTTCTTAGTTGGTAGTCTTTTTTTAATGACTGCCTTGATTTAATTGCCTGTTATTGGACTTTCCAGGACTTCTATCTTCTTGCTTCTATATTTACAAAAGTATTAGATGTTCATCCAATCAATAATACAGAGGTAAACAGAGTAAAAGCTAATAGGGCCCTCCCTCCCCTCCTCAAAAATTATTCCCTTGATTTTGAGAAACTAATGTTAGCATTTCAAATCTACTCATAATTATTCCATGCTTACATTAGGGGAGAGTTTTTTGTTTTGTTTTTACAAAAATGAAATCATATATTTCTACTACTTGTTCTTCTACTTCTTAATTATATATTGTGATGGTTTATCTCGGTGGTCAAGGTAATTGCCTGAGAGACGTCCAGGAGATTAGTAAGTCACACATTTGGGTAGGTCAAGGAGACATGACGGGGGACTAAATCTGGTCATTGCTCCTTCCTCTGTGGCTCATGCCTGGTTCTCTGCTGTGTGGTTGTCAGGAGGTGGGAGGCTTTTCTCTGCCACATTCTTCTACCTTCATGTTTTTACCTTGGAGCCAGCCATCTGTGGACTGACACTATGGCCCAAATAGACCTCTCCTCATTTAAATTGCATATTTCCAATGTTTTGTTCCAGCAGTGAAAATCCTATGAATATGTACATGTTTCATTTATTTTTAAACTTTTCTGTTATATTCATTTAGAGCAATCTTTCAAATATTAGAAGTTAAACTTTTAAAGGTGATTTAGGGGAATTCAAGCAAAAAAAGAGCAAATAAGCAGAAGAACAGGTAGAAATACAAGATGTATTTTAAAAATTCAGACTTAGACACAATTGATTAGAGGAGAGGAAATGTATCGGGGAATACTGAGGGACTTGCTGAGGTAGTTTCGAGTCCCTGTGAGAGGGTAATAAATAACAGCCAAAGCAGAAAGCCACTGAAGATTGAAGGACAGGTCGTGTTGTTAGCTGCTTCATTTTAGTGAAACTTCAAACTAATCCCAAAATATTTCATTTGAAAATGTCATTCACTGAATTCCTTTAATTAACTTACTGTAAAAGGGGATAATGTATAGGACAGTGGCCAAAAGTACTGAGCGTCCCATAAGGAGGTGGCATCAAGTTCTGTCTGGATGCGTTGGTACTGTGGGTGAACATTAGGTCCTTTCAAAGCCACCCAGACACCCTCACTGCTGTCTTGAGTATGAGCGGTAGACAAAGCGACCAGGGAAGACTTTGGGTACTCAGAGTTTAGGGTCCTAGTCATCTGGGTAACTGAGGCAAAGAGCTACATCTTCAAATTCTGTGTAAACAGGGATTAGGGCTGGATTATCATTAAAGTGCCTCCATCTCTAAAAATTTAATGGTTCTGTGACTCTGTAACAGTTTGGCCGATATAGGCCACAATGGATGAAGAGGAAATGTCTTGAGCTGCATATAAAACGTGTAATACAGTTAATGTGTATAAGCAACATAACTTCCTTCTTTATAACTTACTATTTTATGAAACAACATAAGCCCAAGATTAATAATTAAATAACAAAACCTGTACGTCTGTTTAACAGCAGGACACACGTGTAAGTATGTGGACTACTATGAGCTCTGACACATGCTGGTTTCAGTTCTACTGATTGTGTGTGGCAGGCATGGAAGGTAAAGTTAGCACAGTGCCCTGCCATACACAACATAGACAGTATGCATCCAAAACAAGATTCTGGGGCTGGGGATATAGCCCAGCGGCATAAATGCTTGCCTGGCAAGCCTGAGGTCATCAGTTCGATTCCTGGTACCAAAAAAAAAAAAAAAAAAAAAAACCAAATGTACAAAACAAGATTCTGCTGCGATGAATTAAGGATTAGGTAGAGCCCTTCACCACTGTTGAAACTCTCAGACTTAAAAACTGATGTTATGTGCTCCCAAGACAGTCTTGAAAGAATATGTGTAATTCATTTCGGGAGACATCTACTACTTACTTTTTAAAAGATTTTCCTACATTACTACTGAAATGGTAAATATTTATGATAAGAGTTAGACCTTAGTGTTAGCCACTCACTGGCTGAGGAAACAAAACTAGCACTAAGAACTCAGTCATTCAAAGAAACTGTGGATGGCTTTGAAGTATTTAAAAATATTTCAGGATCCAGCATAGCGGTGAGTGCCTGTAATCACAACTACTTAGGAGGCTGAAGCAGGAGGGTCACTGAAGCCCAGGATTTTGAGGTCAGCCTGGGCACTACAGTGAGACCTCGTGCCAAAAAAGAAAGTGAGTAAGCCACCTTCTTGACCACATTTCAGGCAGCAAAAAACCACACAGATGCAAGAGTACCATAATTAAGAATTTAAAAATTTTGCTTTAAAACTTTATTCTGATTTCAAATATTTTAAAGTAATTGAAGTTGGTTTTCTCCATTTGTAGAGGAGTATGAATATGTAAATTGATAGATTGCTCAAAAAATTGACTAGAAAATTCCTGGTAAATTCAGAATAAATGCTACCAAATTACTTTTTTATTATTACAGATTCCAAAATTTATAAGCAAGGCAAGTTTTGATCCTTTTTTAAGGACTGTATACAACAAAATACCAGCCAGAAGTAGCAAAGAACAAGATCCATACAAAAATAGAAATATTTTACTTGCAGAGGACATAGAGTATGAAGATCAAGATCCTCCTTATGCAGCAGGTTCAAAAACCGCAGGATATAACAGTAATACCTGGGCCTCTGATCCTACTAACGTCATCACAAAAATGATGTCAGACATAAAGAGTAAGTTGTGTTGTGATTGTACCATTGACATAATGAACACTAATTATTAGCCCACGATCCTACCCTCAGCACAACAGAGACTTGTGACACCCAGAATATGTTAGTGCACAATCCTGGCATCACAGTGAAACTTCATACTGTGAGGTCTAACATGGTCATATTTGTGTATTTTATTTTTTTATTATTTACTTACTTATTTACTTCTTTATTTAATCTTTTTGAGACAGGGTCTCGCTATGCAGTTCAGGCTGGCCTTGAGCTCATTTTGTAGCCCAGGCTGGTCTTGAACTAGCAACGATCCTCCTGCTTCAGCCTCCCGAATGCGGGTGTGCCACCATGCCCTGCTTATTCGTGTATTTTAAAAATACACAACTGCATCCTTTTGGAGAATTAGGACATGCACATACAGAATCTTAAAGTCATTTTTAGGGCCCATTTCCCCCAGTCCTCCCCTATCACCCCTCACCAGATCCCCTTGCCATCTCTAATGACCCCCCCATTTCCTATCAGCTGTCCTTTATTTTGCTCATTATTTATTTATATAATACTAGAAAAACCATGTGATATTTAATCTTATGTGGCTGGTTTATTTCATTTAGCACAATGATTTAAAGCTCCATCAGTTTTTAAAAAACTGACTCAAATTTAGCTGTACCTCGTGGCTGACTATACTCCACTGTGTATATGTACATGTTTTCTTTACCATTCTCCTGGTGGTGGGCATTTGAGCTGATTGCATGAGTTAGCTGTTGTGAGCTGTGCTTCTATAAACATGGGTATGCGTGTATCACTGTAATGTACTTTCTGTAACTCTTTGGGGAAGATACTCAAAAGAGGTATTGCTGAGTTATATCCCCGGTCCCCAGCACTTTAAGTTTAGGTATTTCTATACATATTTTCAATAGGGTTTTTTTAATCATAAATGGATATTTATGAATAAATGGATTTTTCAAATGCTTTTTCTGTATTTGTTGAGAAAAATGTGTGATTTTTATCCCTTTGTTTTTGTGGCGTGTTAGATTTTTTGGTTTCCCATGGAATTTCTAGTTTTGGTTTTTTGAGGAATCTCCATACTGATTTCCGTAGTGGTTGTACCACTTTACACTCCCACCAACAAGGTAGCTTTCCTTTTTCTTGGCAGCTTTGCCATCATTTGGTTTATATCCGGTACCAGGAATCGAACTCACAACCTTGTGCTTGCCAGGCATGCTCTGTGCCACTGAGCTAAATCCCCAGCCCCTAAGCAGCTCTGTTGTGCCTTGCCCTTCTTCTGTGATGTCCCTGCCTTGGAGCCCCTGGCTGTGCATTGAACCCCCTGAACCATGAGCCAGATTAAACCTCTCCTCCTTCATCATACCACTTTTTTTTTTTTTTTTGGTACCGGGAATCGAACTCAGGACCTTGCTCTTACCTGTTTTTTTTTCTTGGTAGTAGCCATTTTTATTGGAATAAGTTAGAATCTCAGTGTTGGTTTGATTTGCATTTTTATAATGGCCAAAGATGCTGAGCATTTTTCTGTATCTATTGGCCATTTTAACTCCTCCCCCACAGTCCTGGCATCACAAAATCAAGAGTATCTTCTGTGAAAAATGCTGATTGATGGGTTTTATTGGAATTGTGTTAAATCTATGTACCATTTTTGATAATATGGCTGTTTAGACAATATTGGGTCTGCCTATCCAAGAACAAAGGGTATCTTTCAATACCCAAAAGTGTCTATTTCACTTCTAATTGCATTAATATGAATCTTTCCTCCTTATATGAGTTTGACTTAAGAATTTTTCAATTGTGTTTTTCTGTTGTGATTCATTTGTCATTTATATTGTTATGATCTCAATTTTTTTACTTTCCATGCTGTGTATATAATTTCTCTCCTTTTACAAGTTTTGGCACGCTGTGGCCTAACATCTGGTCTGTTTTGGAGAGAGTGCTGTGTGCTGCTGGTCAAAATGTTTATTCTGTTGTTGTTGTATAAAACACTCTGTAGTTACCTGTTAAGTCTGTTTGTTTGATGGTGTGTTCAACTATGATTTTTTTGTTGATATTTTGCTTAGTTGACCTACTTGTGAGAGTGTGGTATTAAAGTCCTCTATCTGATTGCATTGATATTTACCTGATTTTTAATGTCTACTAGCATTTGTTTTATGATATTGAATGCATTGTCTTTTCCTGTTGAATTCCCTTTACCAATATGCTATAACTTTTTCTGTCTTTTCTGATCAGTGCTGGCTTGAAGTCCATTTTTTTTTTTTTTTTTTTTGGTTTTTCTCCGGTACCGGGAACCGAACTCACAACCTTGCGCTTGCCAGGCAGGCGCTTTTGCCGCTGAGCTAAATCCCCAGCCCCTTTGAAGTCCATTTTGTCGAAAGATAGGATAGCTACTTCTGTTGGCTTTTGGGTTCCTAATGCATGGTGTATTGTTTTCCATTCTTGCACTTTCAGTGTGCATTTGTTTTTGTGGATGAGATAACATATGTTCAGAGCCTCAAGCCAAGTTTTTCAAGCTAAAAGGAAACAACTTGAAAGCCTGGATTAAAATGTCCTGCAAAAGTCTTCAAAATTCATGGTGAAATGAAGATTTTCCATGACAAACAGTACCTAAATAAATTCATGATCACCAGACGAGCACTGCAGAAAGTACTCAAAGGAATCCTACAGAAAGACAGTGAGGCCACATTTGTTCTATGATACTGAATGCGTTCTCTTTTCCTGTTGAATTCTTCCCTTTACCAATATAAGTCGCTTGATGTTTTTCTCAGCTTTTAGTATTCTCTCCTTTTGTTGAATTTCTGGAACTCTGATTATGATGTATCATGGGGAATTTTGTTTAATTTTGTTTCTACCACTGTTATTTAGGGTTCTACATGCTTTATTTTCCTTGCAGTTGAATTCTTTCAATAAACTTGGAAAATCTTTGGCTGTGGTTTCAGTGACTGTTTTGTTAATCTGCAAATTAATTTTAATGTATGGATACAAACAAAGATCCATAACATTTATAAGAAATCTCTCAAATCACATTGTAAATAATTCAACAAGAAAAATTCAACAAAGATACATATAAAGTTACAGCAATGTTATGGCCTGTACTTCAGCTGACAAAGCCGAGTCGCCAGTTCAGAAGTGTCACCTGATTTACACAGATGACATCATCTTTACGTGGACAAGTTAAAAAGTTACTGAAAACCTTGCAAGGACGATAAGAAATCACACTGGGTGCTAATATGTACCAAAAGAAAAAGAATGACTATAAAATTACAGAATCATTACAAGTATTTTCTCAATACAAATGTAAATGCCTATGACCTGACTAAATGTATCAGTGAAAATTATAGTGGAGCTAAGTAAACATAAAATATGAAAGTGTCTGGGTTTTTCTTTGGCCAAGTGCATTTTACCAAAGCTATTTGTAGGTTAAGCGTATTCTGTGGAAAATTTTGTTTGCCAGCAGCCATATCCAGCATACAAACTATGGAAAAGACATTTATGCATACTTGCTGGCACTGCCCATTGAGGGACGCTCCACTTCCCTCCTCTCCTTGATGGAAAAATAAGCAGAAATCCTCCCCACTGCTCTGGGCAATGAGGATGCTTTGTTCTGTTGAGGATATATGGCTGAGGATGTCGATAGTTCAGGCACCCAGAGATTTCTGCCTGGACAATTGTTGGATCACCTGGCAGATGATTTCCACCGTGAACTGCATTTTGAATTAGTGTACTTTCGCTTTGTGTAAAGACAACAGCAAAGTGTAATGTGCATGTAACCTTCAGCTGGGTTACAGTATTTACAAATGGCTTTAGATGGTGGGAGCCTCTTTCAGCTACAGAATCACATCTACCAGCAGGAACAAAAATCGAACCTAACGAAAACAAACCATGTGAGTAGTATCCCATGAAAACGCTGGCAAACCGTTTATTATCCTCTTTATTTCTATTGTTTATGATTGCTTATAGCCTGTGGCATCGTTGAGGTACATTTTAGGTTATGATCACAGTTGAGAGGGCTGCTTTTGACCCAAGGCCATTCCAGCTGTCTCAACAGAGCTGGTAAAATGTGAAACATGAAAGAACAGATAAAATTCATCAAAATGTCACGTCACCCTTTTGTTCAGCCTGTGGGAGAGCAGGGTGGCAGTTCCCAGGGAAGTTCACACAGAATCCAGGTGGACGGCTCTTCGTTGCTTCTTTGCAAGTGGACGATGGGGCTTAAATTCAAGGAGGAACTTCGTCAAATTGAACATGAGAATACTTGACGACTTCTGTCTTTGTAGAACTCGGGTACCTGATAATAAAACCCAAGCCAGACATGCAGAGCGCCAGAAAGTCAAAGTCCTTTTAAAAGACACATCAGCAGTTTTCAGAATTACTTAAAAACTCAAGTAGGATCTACCCAGGACACATATTTGATCAATGGATTCTCGCACTGTATAAATGTGACTGGAGCAACCCTGGGTCTTGAACTGAGCTTAATAAAATCATGTAAAAACATGTCTTTGTGTTTGATTCTTTGTTTGGAAGTCTGTGGAGGTAGATTGGAACCAGAAGTAAGGGCACAGCTGAAAAATACGTTAGGACTGGCCACAAAGCTTAAAGTATTTCTTCAGTGTCAGCTAGTAAATACAAGTGGAAGCTCTGTGGGTGATTCTTTACTGGAGTTGATTAATACTAATATTTTCTTAATGCCTATAATTTTTTTTTTTAGTTAAGCAGCTGTTGGATCCAGGTTTCATGGTATCTTGTTGTTTTTATAATATCCCTAAGTACACGATCCACTACGTCAGTCTTGTCTTCTAGCTGTGACACACTTTCCTCACATTGGTTGTTTCTGCTGCTTGTAGTTTCAACAGATTTTTATATTCTGGATTTCTATTTGATATCTTTTAATGACCCCCCCATTCTTTACTAACATGGCTATTCCTATGTTGTGGTGTCTTCTTTAATTGAAGCAGCTTTTGTGTGCTCTTTAAACTCATTGAACATTTTAGCAATTCCTTTATCTGTTT